ATTTCTGATGAACAGTAGCACATTTGGGAATTCCTGTCCTCTTCCACATTAACTGTGTTACCGGAGAAGTTCAGATGTGCAGATGAGGGAGTGTACATGGCACCATGCTGAAGCATGGTGGGGCCTGATTCCACGCCTTAACCCCGAGGATAGGCTGTTCTGTTGGCTTCCAGGCACTTTTGGGACATGCTCTTCTACTGCCAGAGAGAACGCCTTTTGTTTTGGACCAGGAGCATTAGAGTGGTTCATTTTCCCTCCAATTGACTGCTGATTCAAGGGTATTGTGCTATCTGATCATCCTAGTATCTGATTCAGCAGGGCCCAGCCTGTAGGATCCTGAGCGGGAGTCCTTCTCACAGGTTGCCCCGGCACCTCACGGGCCTCACCAATGTGATCCTGATCTTTCACAGACACTAGATTCTCAAATCCAGGAATCTGGGCCTTTCCTCTTGGCCTGAGGATCAAGGTGGGGTCCTCTGTAAAGAGGCCTAGGCCTGACTCTAAATGCCCCAGGTTTTGGCTCCACGGCATTTGAGGTAACAGATCTGAAGGTTTTGGCTAAATGTGTCCAATGAATTATCTATGTTCCTATATCTATAAGATAAAGTCATACTAGCAATTTTTTTTTTCCAATGAGAAGGATGCTGACTTTAAAGAGTAATAATCTCTATGTCTTTTTTATCTTCTTCAGTGCGAAAAATCCCAGTTTCACTTAGTAATTTCCTGACCTGGTAGCAATGAATCCACCTTGATGGCTGGGGTTCAGGTTCTTCTAATTCAGAATTTCCCTCTATTTGCTGTCATCTTTAACCTCTCAAATTGTGACCCGCTTAGTTCTTGACATTATTTGTGTTAATAATTTAAAAAGTAATAATAACCATAATAATCATAATCATAATGAAATAATGACAATAGCAACTATAGTTACTATGTTTTAGGTACCACTCTAATGCTTTCCCCTATGATCTCTTCTGTCTCAAAACCATTGCCAAGTAGGTATTCTGATCCCCATTTTAAAATGAGGAAACCAGTGCTCAGAGACACTAAGAAATGTCCCCAAGGTCACCTTTAGCATAAGTAGTGAAGCCAGTATTTCTATCCAAGCCTGACTTACTGAAGAGACTGTACTTTCAGCCACTATACTCAAGTGCCTTCCACGGCTCGTTTTCTCTAGATCTAACACATGACGGCCAAGATCAAGGATTTCCACATCAGAGGCCTAATTTTATATTCCAGTTCTGCCAATTTCTAGTTGAGTAACTCGGGGCTGATTATTTAATCTCTTCATCTATAAAATGAGGATAACAATGCTTTCTCATGGGGTTCAGGTAAGGATTAGATAAGAAAATGCACAGTGCCTAGCACATAGTCAGTGTTCAATTACCAGCAGCTATAACTGCTACATTTCTGCTGGTTTCCTTATACTTTTTATACCATACAAAATGCCTGCTCCTTTCTCTTGCAGGTTGTATTCCCACCTCACACCAATTTCAAGTTCTGGAATTTATTCTGTTCTGATTTGTATACAATAACAGGGCAGTCTCAGAGCAATAACAGGAAAACAAAACTAATTTGAGAAACAGCATCCCCCCCAAAAAACACTCGGAGGATATGACAAGTGTGGCATCCTTCCTGGATCTCTTATTTTCTCTACCTTCAGTTTTTTAAAGGGGTCATTTCTCCCTGGTGACAATATCAGCTGCTTCCCTATGACAGACAATGAACTGATATCTCTGCCAAATACAAAGGACTCCCCCCGTCTCAGTGACCACTGCTTCTTCTTGTCACACCTGCTTTATCTCCTTCACCCAAACTGGTGTGACTCCAAAATTTATAGCCAGAAGCCTCAGCTATCTGGCTCTGCATGTGGGCTTCCTGGTAAGAGGTCTTGGAACAATCTATCTTGGCTGCCACATGGTGGTACCCATCTGTGGATACCATTTTTTCATCTCTGCCCTTCTTGTCCTGAAGCTTCATCTATCACTTTCACTAGAATACCATGTACTTAAAGGCATTCTTTCCCGTTGTGTCTCCTGGGATCATCTTAGGTTGTGTTTGTGGCTACAGTACTGGACTCAAAAGAACATAACCTGGTCAGGGGATGCACAGCTAGGTTTTCATTTAATTAAGGGGAAAAAACGAAACCCAGCAGTCCAGTCATTGTTTAATGAAGGGGGTTTTCAGACCTCAATCTGGCAACAAGTAGAGCATGCAAACTAAACTCCTTTCCCTGAACAGGTTTATGGTGCCAAAGCACCACCTACATTCTAGACACAGCTGTTCACCTGACCAGAGGCAACCTGAGAAAGAAAAAAACTGGGTTTTTGCTTTGTTTCCATCTGATCTCTTCTCTCACCCTTAGTTCCTGTTTTTACAAATCTGGATCATTACCAAAGAAGACAACATTCAGAAGGTAATAAGGAACTGACTGGTGTCATAAACAAGTAACAAAGCAGAAGGGAAAGTAAGGAATTGGTATTTTCCAGCTAGAGTGGGGGAGGAGGACGAGAGTGGAAAAAAGATGGGGAAGCAGTCCTAACAGGTCTTAGAGAATCCGCAAGCTGGATTAGGGAAGCCGACCTCCACAGGCTGCATTGGTCTCTTCACTTCCCTCATTTCAACCCTCAACATGGGCAACACATCACCTCTGTCTGGGTTTGGCTGCTCTAGGCATTTCTTTCTGGTAAAAGGTGTGTTGGTCACTTTCCAGCCAGGAGCTTCAGGCAGAGGGTAGTGGCCCATAGGCTGGAGTGATGGTTTCACAGAGCATGGTTCACTTGGTAATTCTGTAACCTGCTGGCCTCTGCCAATTTACAAGTCAGAATCTCTGGGGGAAGTCAGAGAATTCTTGTTTGCAATAACATGTAAGAATCCCTGAGATAAAACATATTGAGACTCAATAATCTAGGCAAATTTTCAAGTATCCATTTTGTGCATTATAACAACTCCCTAAAGATGTTTGTGTCTTAATTCCTAGAATATGTTAGGTTACAGGACAAAAGAGAATTCAGGTCGCAGATGGAATTAAAGTTGCTAATCAACTGGCCTTAAAATGGGGAGATTATCCTGGATTATCCAGGTGGCCCAAATGTCATCATAAGAGTCCTTTTAGAAGACAGAGGTAGAAGACAAGAGTCAGAGAAGGAAACATGACCATGGAGATTATGTGATGTGAGAAGGATTCAGGCTGCCTTTGTAGGCTTTGAAGCTGGAGAAAGGGACCATGAGCCAAGGAACGTGAACAGCCTGTAGGTACTGCAAGAGGCAAGAAAAGAGATTCTCCCTTAGAGCCTCCAGAAGTACCACAACCCTACTGGTCCTTGATTTCAGCCCAGGGAGACCCATGTCAGACTTCTGACCTGCAGAATTGTAAAATAAAATGTGCGCTGTTTTAAGACACTAAGTTTGTGGCAATTTGTTATAGCAGCAAGAGAAAACTAATATAAACAGGTTACTGCAGATAAATGACTGCATTCAATGGCATCAATAGATATGATATAAAAAATGCACACACACAGAATGTTTCTGAAAGGCATAAAGTTTAAGAGACTGAAGGCCCATTATCCACCCTTCTCCATCCTGCTCTGTGCCCTGTTAGGCAGACCTCTATGGGCTAAACTACCCAACTCCACCCGGCTCCCAGTTGGGCTCTACCCATGGGAGGCACCAGCAAGAGACTGGAGGGTGCTCAGGCTCCAGTGCTGACCTTGCACTTGTATGACCCTCAGGGTGAGTGTCTCCTTACATCGGACGCTCTAGGCATCTCGCTTGCCTCACTCAACAGGAACAATGACGAAGAAAGAAGAAGCCCTCTCTAGGGTCCAAGAAATCCTTCTAGAGAAGACGGCAGGCTGACGGCTACTGTGAGCCCAACCACAAAGGATCTGGAATTCTTCACCATTTCTGACATGCCCCAACCTGACCACATCCCACCACAGGCTGCTCTGGGGTGAACTATGTCAAGAGGCCATGTAGTTGAGAAAGCAGGAAAGAAACGTCAAGAAAATATAACTCAATAGTACCAAGAGAAACAATGTAACTTGAAAACAACCCTGGATTAAGCAATTTACTCAGTTACTATAGATGCAACCCAGCTATATGCAAATCAATGCAAATATAAACAACAGCCTCCATAGGGATAGCTTTTTCTTTGCTTTCTCTAGCCTCTAAAACAAATCCAATTTGGAGGATGAACATAGAAAATTACGCTGCAGTGGAATAAGATTTGTTTATGCATCTCAGCACTTCTACCAATACCCGCAACAGCACCCCTAAGCTAAAAGTGTCTTGTTCATACAGAAGAAAGGCATGATTTAGAGGTAAACTACATAGGATTGGTGAAGTAGAAAAGCATACCCACCTCTGCCTATAGAGATTTGGGAAAGTGACGGCCTTTCCTGCCAGAAACCTTTCTACATCAGCAATCCTCCCACTCTTCTTCCGAGTGTCTGAGTTCAGTTCTGTCTCCTCTGTGGCCCCACAGCACAGAATATGCTCAATAAGTGGGTACTGAGTGCATGAAGCAGTCCACAGACAGGGCAGTCATACAAGGCCACGGCTGACTAGATATAAACATACTTTGCCATGCATTACCTGTTAACTTCAGGAATCTCCCTACTTCTTATCCCCCTTGGGCACCCCCCACCCATTCCCGCCCTAAGTATTTTTAGAACAAAAATACAACAAAACGATAGGAAGAAGACTGTGGCAGGAAGAAGACTGTGGCAGGAAGAAGGTGGTAGTATTAACACTCCAAATAAGGCTGCAAGAAATTTAGAAGCTGGACACTTCCCACTCCCGCCAAAAACATTTGTTTCCTGTCCATAAATAGGAACACCATGCAGATTTGCTTATTTTTAGAAAAAAAAAAAAAAAAATCTTATTTTTAGAAAAAATCTACGAGATTGTTTTAAAGACTTGTAGGTCAGTAGGCTAACATTTCTACCCTCAAACGGCAAGCCAGCTCTTGAACACTGGTGTTCTTTCTGTTGGGCGTCTACCTGAGCCGGGAAGAACCAGAAGAAGAGGTTGCTGTTGTAAGTCTTATTCACGGTGAGGAAGCCGGCATAACTCTTCACGTTCAGTCCCAGGAAAGGACTGACCAAACTCAATTCTTTTCCTAGTGGGAGGGAAAAAAAAAATTTACTCAAGGATTACGGAAAACAACAACAACAACAACGTGAGCCATCTATCTCAGTCTGGATGAAATGCAGTGATTAGATAAGCTAAAAGGGGATTGGTATGAAAGGTAGTTCCTTCAACAAATTCCAGCCTGCCCCTGGCCAGTCCCACATAGTCCACATTCACAATTTAGCCAAGGACATGTGAAAGTTTTAAGTCTTTGGGGAGGGGTGACCAAATATATTTTACAAGCTGTGATAAGGTTGTTTTTAAAGTTCTTTTAAAAAGAAGAAAAGAAAATCTCCTATCATCACACCTTGCATAAACCAAGGTGTCCACCCTGGGCCACATGGAAAGGAGCAGGATAAAGTAAACTGACCTGAAACAGTGGGGTGCAAGAGTAACAATGTGGTGAAGCAGCTCTCGGCCTCACCCCAAGGATGCCTGTGTTCTTCACGATCTTGTTTTAATGAAGGCAAAAAGGCTGTCACATCTACTAAGAGGAGTGGGTCGAGGCATATGGGAGTGTGGGCGGCTGTGGACAGTGGGGAGACTGGGGGTACCTCATGGCTACTCAGGGGGAACCAAACAGGACAATGGGACAGTTGTGGAGGCCAGGGGTCCTGGTTTTTTTATGGCACCATTGGGATAGGCACAGGGAAGGAGTAATTGGGGATGCTTAGATGGCCAAGGATGCCCAGGAGTAAAGAATGCTACTAGGAGCTGACATTTACAAGGCCACATTACCAGGGCTTTTACATGATGTGGGAAGTATAATTCTCATTCCCACTTTAAAGATAAGAAAGCTGAAGCACAGAGAGGTTAAGTGACTTGCCTGAGGTCACACAGCTAGTAGAGGAGAGGCTGGGATTAAACCGAGCAGTCAGGCTGCAGAGTTTGTTCCTTCCTCCAGGGCTTTCAACTAGAGTGAGTCAGAAGGTGCAGGTGGCAGGGAGCGGGAAAGGAAGTAGTGGTCAGGAAGGGAGTGGCAAAGGAACAGAAAACAGCAGAACGTGGTGGGGAAGTAAAAGGGAAAATTTGGGCGAAGGAGAAGAATCCTTTAGTGGTGACAAAGAATGTGTCCCCAGTAGGAACTAATCACGCAAGAAAAGCGATGTAGGTCTGAGACATATTAAGTTGGAGACTGGTTAGTAGCTTAGGAAGCTTGACTCCTCACATGCCATCAACTAAAGACGCCTTTGGTGGTAGGTGGAGTCCTTAGACTCTGGAGGGCTAATTGTTAGCATCTCTTCCCAGCTCAGCATTCAGAGACAACATTGATAGGATAAAATAAGCCAAGGTGATAATATTTACACTCAAAGGAATAGATGCTGTAAGTCAGGGTCCTGACTCCAAGGGCTGGTTGCTAAACTTTCACCAGCACACTGCTGTTTTGGGACTACTAGCTCCTCTTTTAAAAGAAGCATGCCTCTTAGCCGAGCATGGTGGCAGTGCTTGTAGTCCCAGCAACTTGGGAGGCTGAGGTGGGAGGATCACTTGAGCCCAGGAGGTCAAGTGATCATGCCACTGTATTCCAGCCTGGATGACACAGCAAGACCCTGTCTCAAACACAAACATATATATAGGCATGCCTCTCAAAAGGAAAACCTCTCATCTAGACCACACGGTTCCTATGCTGATCCTAGCACTCCTATCGACCAGCTGGTGACCCTCTGTATTTAACCTCCCTGTACTTCAGTTTCTCCTCTGTGGAAGATGGACTGCCCGTGGGCCACCTGGATTAAAAGAGCCCCACATGTAAAACCTATAGAAAGAAGCTGGCAGATAGGGAGCAGAATTACTGTTGCTATCTGTGAAATGCACCTGCTGATTAGGAACAGGAGCACCTCTGAGCAGAGGAGGTCATGGGGACAAAGGAAAGGTCTCAATAGGTGGTCCCTGAGGGTCCTGTTAGGCCAACACAATAGGAGAGCATGGGTTTCCTAGCCTGACAGAGCTGGGTTTGGAATCCTAACTAGATTAGGACTCCCCAGCAAGTTGCTCCATCTCTCTGAGCCTCTTTCCTTGTATGCAAAATACAAATACTGATTCTGCTATCCTAGGCTTTCTGTGAGGATCAAACAACAAAAATGCATACGAACCCTTAGCCTAGCACTACATATAAAATAAGGGTTCAGTCAATTGGAAGGGAAGGTTATAATTAGCCTTTGGCCACTCCAAGTGAAGTCTAGAA